GGTGTTCCCACCAGACACGAGCAATGCTTCGGAGACATCGGTGGTCAAACACAGAAAGTCGATTAGCATCCTCCGCTCGGAGAGGCCAGGTCTCGCAACCGTAAAGCAAGCCACTACTAACCGCGGCGATGTACACCCTTCCCTTAAGGAACAGTCGAATGTCATGGCGGTGCCACAGGTGTTGCAAGTTGGCGAAAGCTGCTCTATCTTTCGCTATTCGTGTTGTGATCTCGTCCCAAAAAGCACTACCAGCTGCGATCCAGCTCCTGAGGTACTTAAATCTCTCAACTACTTCTAGCTGATTACCACAGAGGGTTAGTGCAGGCACCGGCTCCTGCCAGTCCTGAACAAGCACTTTGCACTTGGAAGGTGCAAAACACATACCATACCTGGCTACCTCGATCGCCAAGCGGTTTAAAGCGTTTTGGACTGCCTGTGGAATTTCCTGATTGAAAAGCTGGGTATAATCGAAACTAAGCTACATTGGGTGTTAAAATGCAAAGATGTTATTGGATATGTGCTTAGATATGTGATTGAAAACACTTATAGGGTGTATCATATAATGAGGGAACAACAAGTGGCATGTATGAGTCGAAAAACGGCGGTGAGGCTAGTAGCTGCGGATAAAAGATGTCACTATACAAATTAGTATTTCTTTTACTTCTACATCGAGAAACTCTTGGGTTACACACAATGGGCCGTACAGCGAGCACCTCAGTTGGTGGTGAAACGCTGGAAAATAAAGTGCCAAGCTTGGCGAACATAGAAAATGGAATTAAGTCAAACTGAGTTTCGAGAATCGATATCCAGTGAAAATATATACAAAAATCATGTTAATCGAACAAGGTCTACTGCAGCCAACTCAAGGTTTGGCGTCTGTGAATCACTTGACAAATGTAGACAGTAACCAAAATGCATCCACTTACTTGAGCGTTTCCCTTTCCCATTTATTAAAACGGAGACCGGTGGAATAGGATCTTTACAAAAGCATAAATCCATGTTTCTCAAAATTCACGATTGTGAATCTTGTCCCCAACTTGATCGAGAGCCTCTGGGAATTTTCAGTCATTTGAACGCAGGAAGAACACATTACCACCGCAGAACGCGAGAATGTTTTTATGCTAACTAATCTTTAGATTATTCTTACGTTATCCGATTGCCCTGCACCATTGTATCAAGACTAGTCACTGTGATTGTTTAATTTCGGTAATGGTGGACAAATTTCAGTGCCCCCTTAATTTGGACATGTATTGTTTATGCGGACTAGACACCTGTATTCCACTCATGACCGAGAACCATCCTGTCCAGCCAATGTACATACAATGTGTCTGAAAAACCACACCCGAAATTAACCCAATCAGTCAACTGATCGGAAATCTTGTGCACAAGGTTGTGTGACAGTCAGACTGACACCAACGGGATCTGTTGCATGCATGCCTAGATGCCCGAATTTGTTCCAGCCTGAACTAACGCTATTCAATCACCGCAACATCGAGTCCTTTCATGTTAATTGATTATTCCCATGATGACATTAAGAAAACTGTTGCAAACAAAGCTTGTTTTCGATAACTTCCTCCTCGGGCTAATACGGTTATATATATATATACATATATATATATATGCATCACTCGTATGATGCCAGATTGTGTCAGACAAATCGTGGTACACTAATCTTTATAAAAGATATGATGAATATCATTGGCCGATTATGATTTTGTGATCTGTGATTTGCAAATGAGAGGGCAGTTTTGTTGTTGTGTGATTCGGAGATGTTCACAGTCGGTGGATAGAGTGAGCTGTTCCATTTCCGGTCTGCGGTTCTGGGTCATGACAAAGGTCACGGTCGTTTCGGTCGGCTGTGTCAGGTTGAGGCCAGTGTAAGCGAAGTGACTAAACGAATCTTTTTTGAAAACAAAGGGACGGATTGAGTAGTCGAATAGCCACCGCCCCGGCTGTAGCAGGGTGTCGCTGACGAACCGTTTTAAATGGGTTTGCCGGTAATTTGTAGATCCTCCTGAATGTGTCATCGTTTGCTTGATGCCCCGTGTTTGCAAGATGTTCTACCACTTCACTTGTAATTGTTTTCCTTGTGCCCGTACTCAGCCGCACCGTGCTCCTCCAAAAGCCTCTGTATGGTCGGGGTGGGTGGCTAGGGTTGCGGCTGGTCACCCTGCTCTTGCACCTCGCGAAATGCTTCCATACGATCAAGCGTCTCGAATAGTCTCTGCTGTGTAAGCCCTACTTACTGCCTTCTCGTGGAGGAGGTGTTTTCGCACCAAAGAGAGAAAAAACGTCTTTTTACTTCCTTTTTCTATTGATTGAATATACAAATGCACAGTTAACTTTCAGGAAGGGGGCTGCGGCCATACAAAGGCTTCCTGGGGAAAATACAGATTTGGGAAGACGGGCGGCGGTGGAGCGGTTTGAACCCGGGACAACCATGACACTAGTTGGTGACCTAACCACTTGGCCACCACCGCCCAAGGGGGCAAAAAGCCGACATCAGGAGTTATAACCGGGTTGATGGACTGGTATTTCACCTAGGGGAGTTGACCAAAACTCCTGATTCCAAACCAACCATGAGGAGCGTACGAACCAGATCCACACCTTTCCGGTCGTGGCAATGGTCACCGGCTCAATTGGGCATTGAGGTGTATTGGGCACTTTGAACGTTTGACCCCGTCCAAAGAGCGTATGATCCGATGAACTGGACACCGGCTCCCAATGGACTACGGTTTTCACACACCGCCCGGCTGCCTTGCGGGTTAGGCTTTGGCTTAGCCGAAGGCCCCGGTTGTGAATTCCTTGAGAAAATTCACCTGCCTTGGCCTGGAAAACCTGGCAGAATATCGCCCACTTGCAAATCATGGAACGTCTTTCCTTTTTTATAAAGATTATTGTACCATGATTTGCCTGACACACAGTCTGGCCTTAGACAGGAGTGAAATATAATAATAATGCTCCTTGATTCTTTGAGACAATTGCCTGATCGTTCCTCCTACATATTTTGCCAAACATGAGCAAAGAAAGTGGTAAATGATCATAGATGAGGAGAGGATAGCCGACCGAAACGACCGTGACCTGTGTCATGACCCAGGGGCGCAGACCGTAAGTGAACCAGCTACCTTCATGTTGTTATCGTGCCCAATTGGTGGTAAGAGTGGCAGGTATATCTGTTAACCTATATGGTATTCTATTTGACATAATATCCGGAAATCAACAACTTGTATGCTTTTCAAAAATCCTGAAGAGTTATCATTTTAATGCAACAACCATATCAAGTTATATTTATATATATATATATATATTTATTTATTTATATTTTTTCCACCAGTGTCTGATCGTAGACGAGGGACAAAGATTGAAAAATCCGACAAGTAAACTTTACCGACGATTGGCGAAATTCAACACTGGTCTTCGTTTACTCCTATCCGGCACACCGCTTCAAAACAGAATATCTGAATTGTGGTCCCTACTGCATTTTGTCCTACCGGAAGTGTTCACCTCGTTGGAGATGTTTGAGGTAGTTTGGTTATTTTGCGGTGTGAAATTTCTCTTGAAAATAGTTTTATCTGTTTCACTGTTCGTATAGGTTTAACCCTGCTGCCATCTAAGCTTTTTTTATCGTAGAGAAGTTTCATCTCCCGGGAAAAATCCAATTCGCACATTTTGTGAATTGCTTATATGCAGTTTACTTTGACAAGACAGACCGTATATACAGGTTCATTTGATATACAGAGTGATTTTCAGTTAAAATCTGGTTTCACCATTCAGTTTAAGTTAGTACAACCATTAACCATGTAATATCGTGCGCCGGTTTTTGATGCTGTCTTTTTACAACCCATTTGGATGAATGGCAGGAGAAAGACAAGAAAGTTGAAAGTAGAGTCGAACAGATAATGGAGAATCTCTATGGTCTAAGGTTAAAAGAAATGGAGATGCAAGAACGCAACCGTTTACGACACTCAACAATATCACTCAGTGTCTCTAACCATCGGTTACAATCATCCCGAGGTCCTCAGCTAGGGGGCCTAACGGGACCTATGTGACCCAGTCTCCTGGTTAGGGATTTCATACCCTCATGCTAG